GAAAGAGCCCATATAGCCAAGACAATCCTAAGCAAAAAGAACAAAGCTGGAGGCATCATGCTATCTGACTTCAAGCTGCACTACAAGGTTACAGTAACCAAAACTGCATGGAAATTCTACCTTAATTATTTTTTCTTTCATTAATACTACCCACCTTCCCAAGGTTTCTCCTCTTCAGTTAAGACACTTTTCATTCCAATTAAGAAAACATATTTACCATAATCTATTAATGATTTACTTAATCTAACTCCCCTTGTGCATGTCATACTTCACAAATAGAATGCCTTTTGTTTGTGTTCCCTCATCTTCTATTCTCTCTGATTAACATTGTCTCTTCTGTCTGATCTTAAATTGTTAAAAGGAAATAGGAATGCCTGACGTATTAAGACCTCGTTTCTCATTTGAAAATAACTTTTGTTTCAACCCTTAGTGTTAACAATCTTTCTACATGTAGAAGTAAAACTTAAATTCTTAGTAATTCCCTCTCATGCATTTATGCTTCATTTTTCAGTTAATTAAATATTTAACAGAGGTTGGAAAAGGCAAAGAAACTTGAAGTGTTTTGAATCACTGCCAAGTACAAATCAATCATAAATCAAAGGAAAGGCCCTTTGAAATTACAATACTAGTCAACATGTAAATATTTGCCTTCAATTTTTCAGGAATCTTAAGTAAAACAAGACACGCTGGTACAAAATGATCCCTACTGACTAAACTCACAGGACCTACTGGGCTGTCGGATAAAGGCTGAAATAGTTTACAACTATCAAATTTGGCTACACTTTATATTAAGCACAAATGACAGCATAGGTTAAAGAATATAAAGTGTAATCACTGTTAGCTTAGAATACTTGCTTCTTATATAGCAATGCTTAATATTCATCTATCAGATGTCTTCCCTAACTTCTCAAATTAGGAATGAATTCAGCAGTCAACAAAGCCTCATGACTTTAATGGTTAACAAAACAATAAAAAACTAAAACCACTACATGATTGGTTAATGAGAGCTAAACAAAAAGAGATATTTGACCAAATGGCCATCAAAGCCAAAGCACAACAATAACAACAACAAAAACTAAATGCATAGGAAAATGATAAAAACAAGAGAAAAAAACATGTTGACTGAAAAAAGAAGTGAAAGATTAAACAGAGAATCGAGATAGAAAGAAAATAGCAGATAGCTACAAGACAATTGATTAAAGTCAAGAAATGATGACAGAGAATGGGCAAGACCAGAATAAAGGAGAAAAATTAAGTACTAAGCAGAACAGTGAATTTCTGATGGGGAATATATCATCATAAACACTATATCAGCTATTTGAGACCTCTTTCTTATTTTATTTCTTATAATAAAGGTGGCTATTATAATGGGCATGAGACACTCACATATAGTGAAACTGTTCACTGTGTTCTATTTACAGGAGGGAGTATGTAGTACAATTTGAAATTGTTTCTTTCAAAAATCATCTATCTAATTTATTTATTATTATGTATATTTAAAGTACACAAAAATGTGCAACATGATGTTTTGATATGCATGTACATGCACATGACATAAGTATACATGTAAAATGATAACTACCATCGAGCATACTAACATATCCACTACTTCACACAGTTGCTTACACCTATATACAAAAAATGGAATATTATTCACCTTTTAAAAAGAAGATATTGTTATTTTTGACAACATAGATAAACCTGGAGGACATTACAGTAAATGAAATAAGCCAGACACAGAAAGAAAAATATTATATGAAATCACATACATGCAAAATCTAAATTTTAAAAAAAAGTTTTAATTTAAAATTTTTGTTTTATGAATAAATGGACAAATTTGCTTTAAGAATTAGCTGAACCAAAAAGCTGTCTCCTTCAAAGTACTTTACTCCTTAGCAATTCCGTTAGGTGAAATAATGTTATAAAAAAGAGAATAACATCATTATAGGTTTAGCTCCCAGCACAGGAGGTCTGTGTATGCTCTTTGCTAAGTGCCAACCTCACAATTCCACTTCCCTGGTAGACAATACACTTTCCAGGACTCTCCCCAACAAAAGCACCAAGTAGCAACTTTGCTCTCCACAGATAGTGTGGAAACATAAAGTAGTAACATAAACAAGGAAGAGACATGGTTCTTTATTGTATTTAACTTTAAATTTATATATGTAAAAGAATCGCAATATTTGAAGAAACCTTTCAAAGATTCATGGTTCCTTGCCAAGCTCTTTGATTTGTGTACATATTATGGAATCCATGTATGCTAACTTTTAGAGATAAATGAGTATTCTAAACTCATTTATTAGAGCTTAATAAATGATGATATAGGTATATAATTAGAGAAATAAATATTTAAAACATGATATCTTTATGCAGACACTTTCTAAAAATCATTATAAGATTATATAATTATTTAAAAATACCTTTTATTTTTTAGGAACTTAAATATCATTTATTAGGAACTTAACATTATTTTATTTATCAAGAACTTAAATATCATTTTACTATTTGTGGCTTAGCAACCTCCCCTCCTCTGCAATCAAAACCAAAGAATGTAATGCTGGCAGTATCTTAAATGTTCTTACCATGAAAGAAGAAAAGAGAGAAAGAGAGAAAAAGAAGGAAAGAGAGAGAGAAAACGAAGGAAAGAGAAATAGAGAGAGAAAAAGAGCGAGAAAGAGAGAAAAAGAAAAAGAGAGAGAGAAAGAAAGAAGGAAAGAAAGAAAGAAAGAGAAAGAAAGAAAGAAAGAAAAGAAAGAAAGAAAGAAAGAAAGAAAGAAAAGAAAGA